AGCGCATCCCGGCAGGCGCCTGCGCAACCTGTCGCGGGGTCAGGTCTTCCACTGCTTAGGCTGCGGGAAAGGCTGAGATAGTGCCATTTGCTACGTTTGTCACTGTGTTCCTAACCCGTGGGCTTCGGAGGCCGCAGCCATCCGTCCACGAGTTGTGAAGGGGATCAGGCTGTCCTGCTGCGGACGTGCCCACGAGACCCGGGTCTAAGGTGCTGGCTCTGAAAAGTGGCCATGACGTCAGTCTGCCGGGACTCCAATCCCACCTTCACCGCCTGGATTGGTTTATTTATTTAAACACCTTTATTGTGGTGTGGTTTCTGTACAGTAAACCACACATATTTCAGATGTACAATGTGATGAACTTTGATAGATGTAGACACCCGTGAAACCACCACCACAATCAAGACAGCTAACATTTCCATCACTCCTCTAGAGATGCAAATTTTGCATTCCCAGTACATCCCTTCCCACCCCCTGGTGATTTCTTAAGCCCGCAGGCAAGTCACAACGCTGTGCCTGTTTCTTCCTCTGTCAAAATGGGGTTAACAGAAGTATCTGCCTTGTAGGATAACCCATAAGTGAAATGCTTCTTGGCACCCAGTAAGACACCTGTGAACACCGGCCTTTATCATTGTTATATTGTAATACTGATTATTTTTCACTCTGCTGTTTATTCTTACTGTAACTATTATTTTGCACGTATTTATGTTCCTGCATTCATGATGACAGGTAACATTTACAGAGCACACACAACACAGCAGAATTTCTTCTACATGCTTTCTGCTTACTGATTCATCCTCAGCTCTGCAAGGTGGGCACGCTGGAGCTTTCCATTCTGCACATGAGGGAAGAGGCATGGTCTGGTGCTGGAGCGGCTTCGGAGGCAGAGAACCTGGGTTCAAGGTAGCCAGTCTCTCTGTTCCATCAGCCCAGCGGTGCATCCCTAGAATCCAGTGAGAATAAACTTCCTTGATAGGGGGCTGGTAAGTATTAAATGCAGTATGTGGAAAGCATTTCGAGCCCTAGTTGGTATTCCTGTGAACATGGTAAACCCTAGATTCCTTATATAACCAAGTTCACATGTAGAGGAGCTTCACTTAAAGAAAAATATGATTCTATAAAAAATGTAAGCTTATGAATTTAGAGAGTGCTCACATTTTTGCTTTTTCAACAAAAGAATAGAGTCCAGGGCTTATTTAAAAAGTGACTCTCAAACTTTATGTGAACCAAATTAAAAAAAAAACCATGAAAACACAAAACACTAAAAAAAAAAAAGATGCGTATAGACCAGAACAAAGTAAAAGAAGGGTATATTTTACTACATAATCATAAGTAAAATAGAAAAAACCGAATAAACTGAAAAAACGTGGGCAAGTGTATGAATGATAAGGGTTTCTCTCCTTAATGCTCATTAGAAAGAGGGCCAAAGGAATTGGTCAGGAAATTCACAAAATAAGGGCTAATTTGTTCACCTGCCCAGTGAGTGAGGAAGTGTTAACCATCACAATCCCCTGGCACTGCCAGGTTAGGACACTAATGTTGTGCCAGGCTCTGTGCTAACCTCCTTAAATCTGTTGTCTCGTTTATCCTCTCAAGGAGCCTATATGTTCTCCACTTTAAAAATGAAGACGTTAGGATGGAAGGGATTAGGGAATCCATCCAGGGGTAACGCGGTTGGAAGAAATGACCCTAGAGACACATCACTGCTTCATGATGTTGTAGCATCACCATTACATTTTGGACATTGTTAGGTTCCCAAAAGAGTCCTTGTGCTTTAGAGGTGATAGATATA